CAGGAAAATGTGTAAAAAGGTGGTTTTTTCTGAAAAGTAGACCTTTTTTGTAAATCATTTTTCCTCCATAAAATTACATCAACACAAGACAAAAAAATGTGCATTCCAGGCGTCTTCTCAACTTCTACATGGATTGTGTTAACATGGATTGTGTTTTATCATTAGCCATCTCTTTCCTCTGACATCGCTGTAGTTCATCTCAAAAATGTTAGTGCAATGAGCCTTTTTATTAACGTAGAAAACCCTTGACACTTTATATGCATTTCAGCGTGCAGGTCGAGAATCAGAACGATGCCAAAGCCAACGGCTTGTCATCTGGTACACTATTGAATGATGTTGATGATAAATCAAAACTTGGCGACTTGTCCAGCTAACGGCTTTTATTTTTTGCTCGAAAAGTTATTGTAATAAAGCTACAAACTAACAAACATCCCGTTCAGTTGCCTACAAAAACCAATTCGCACATTTTTTATACATCGTATACATTAAAGACTATGGATGAAACACTGTGAAACTTCAGACTTCATTACTTTTTAAGCTCCAAAATAGTTTTTGAACTTTAAGTCTTCGTGACTTGCGATATAAGATAAGAGAAAATGACCATTTTGTAGCCCTTGAAAAGCTGTAAATGTTATAACTCGATCAAATTAAGTCCAACGAGACCAAAAACTTTTTCATAACTCCACTTTTGATCCTAGAATCCAAAAACATTAAAGAATATATACGTTAATTTCGACCATTCCACTGGCTTTGGAAGCAATGCTCGACTGACTAGTGAAGCCTCTCTAAAGAAAAAATGTTTTTTTGGTAAATCTTAGTAAAATCGCGTTTTGTGTTGCAGAATCAGATGTAAAGCAAATCTGTGATAGAGGAAAAGAAAGACGATAATTTTAAGCGCCATTTTGATTCCACTTTGATACATACAACCGCGCTGAGCATAAATGTTTTTACGTTGCGTTTTCAGTTAGACATTAATGGAAACTGAAGCTTTGCAGTGTTTCACTTAGATTCCTTTATTTATACGATGTATAAAAACATGTTCAATATATTTTCTGTAGAGAACTGAATGATGAATTTTACTAAAAGTTTTCGAGTCTTGGTAGTATAAGTTGACAGAGATATTGGCGACATACCGAGAGGTTCATTAATTCCGGGACACCCGTTAAGGCTTTTGCGTCTAAATCCATTCAACGCTAGGTGAACATTGAACGTGGTCCGATTACTCACTCTGACGCCCAACCCGGCTCACTCATTAGATGGTTTTACGTCTTTGAGCTTTTATGTCTTTCGGCCTGTATGTCTAGAACATACATATATAAAATTTCGAAATACATGAAACTCGGTGGAAATTTATATGTATTCAATTTTCGACAGGGTCGCATTTCGACCGTAAAGCTGTCGACTTTCGAGCGAAAAACCATCAACCGTTTAAACATTCGACCAATCCTTTGCTGTAAAACTCCACAGTGTTGGCTTTTTTTAACTTAAAACTTCCCAAAGTCGCTGTCCAGACAATATTTCAATACAACTACGAACAAACAAAATGAAATATGAAATGTTGTTCAGAAACTCACTCTCACCCTACCATCACCTCCCCCCCCCGACATCCCGCAATCCGCGGGATTTCTGCTGGGATTCCTCATATTCCTCATTTTTCATATCGTTCGTCTATGAAATGTATGGAAGAACATAGGTGCAATATATAAGTATATAGCAGCGTATAGCAATATGACAACATGTTTCATAGCTCATCTTGTACACCTGAATCTCAAATATGTATCATAGTAATGTTTGGCCATCTTTGTGAAGAACTGTTACTGCACCGACTAAAAGCGTTTCTTACAAATCCGTACAGACGATGGTGGTGTTAAAAGATACATTTGACATGCAAAGCTCATGAATCATATTCAATCCGGAAAACATACTTTTATAGAAGAACGATTTCCGATGACTTGGCAGTGCAGCTATGTCAGTCGAAATTAGAACAAATTGGTGAACGAGAAAAATCTCGCTTCAATTACCCGGTCAACAACCATGTTTATCATCACCTCATTTTATATTACCGCAACGATGACCTCTACCGAAACGAAAAATTGTGCGATTTTTAAGTTTAAAGATGACGTTCAAAAAAAATATCCGTTGGAAACCATAGACTGTTGCAAGTGAAATCAAACATGCAATGGGCAGAAATGTTCATCTTCTATTCGGTGGTGATGAATTCCTAAAACCAGGACAAATGAGATTGTTTTTCTCTCGTATCAAATCCCAACGTCAAAAGCAATTGCAAAACGTCGTCGGATATGACGAAGAAAATGAAGATGAACTCAAGGATGGTCAGGCCGTCGAGGAGGTGTTTGAAAAACGACAATTAAAAAGCACGAAACAGCTTTGTAATCCAAAACATTCTGATCCGCCGAAACGTTTCGGGTTTTCAACACCACAACTCGATAAAAAAGATAAGATTCTTTTTAATTCATATACAAATTGATATGATAAAAATATTGATCGCATATAAATGTAAACAGCATTTGACGTGTGCTGGTCTCCAGAAGGTGGCTTTTAATTTAGTTCAAGTGAAGAATGTCTTCATAATATCATAATCAATTACATATGTAAAAAGCGGAATAAAACCGCGTGTTTTTAGCGAGTACTGTGCAGAGAATGAACATAGTTGATTATAAATGCATTTCTGTTCAATTATTTAAGTTTAGCAGAATAATTAAGTTAGAGCTTTAATTAGCTGTCGGATCACGAACAAGTTGAACTTTTCATGTAAATTACCAATTCTCGTTCTAATAGATCAAAACGTTTTTTTAAAAACACACAACGTCAATCGTCCCCCATGGAATACAACACATAACATAGCCAATGACACTAAAATGATGTCGGAAACATAACTGTAACGGAACATAGCTAGCTTGTAAAAAATAACAAATAATTTCTCCCCGAAAAATGCTGTAATAAGGATTGAACTAAGATTCTTTTTAATTCATATACAAATTGAAATGATAAAAATATTGATCGCATATAAATGTACTTTATTACACGTATCAATGCCTCGAACTCATTTTAAGAAAGGACAAGGGTCTCGTC